AGCTAGCCATGGTGGGGCTCAAGGAGGAGCTGCTCAAGGCCATCTGGCACGCCTTCACCGCGCTCGACCTGGACCGCAGCGGCAAGGTCTCCAAGTCCCAGCTCAAGGTGAGCGGTCCCGCCCCGACCCCTGGGGCAGCCCGGTTCCCACCCCTCTCTGATCCGGCAGGCACGACATCCCCGCCCGCTCCCCTGGCATTTGTCTGCTCCGGCCGCCTGCAGGCCTGGAGCTGCCCGGGGGCCGCCGCGCTTCTCCTCCCTCCCTCCCGCACGCCCCGCAGGAGGAGAAGTGGTGGAGAGGCGCCAGCCCTGCTGCGCCTTCTTCCCCGGGCTCCGAAGCCCTTAGTCAGAGGAGAAGTAGAGTGGCCGGTTGTAGCCGCCCTGGTCTAAGGCAGGGGTTGGCAGCGTTTTTGGGCAGGGTGCCAGAAACACCCACAAACTTGACCTGCAAGAGGTTGGCGTGTCGGGGAGGACCGGAGGGGAGCCATCACGGTACTTGGGGTCGGAAGGGACCTAAACAGATCATCAGGTCCGACCCCTGTGAGGGGCCTGATCCTCGTTGTGGCAGGGCCTGAGGGGAAAGCGCCAAGCAAAACGCCTTTGTGCGCCACGCTCTGGCATGCGTGCCAGGGGTTGCCTACCCCTGGTCTAAGGACATAGGCAGGCGAGGCTCTTTGGGGAGCTGTGGTATCTTTTATTGGGCCAACTCAAATACTTGAGTTTGAGTGTCGGGAAAGATGTCACCTCTCCCCAAAGAACCTTGCCTGCCTGTTGGGGAAGTAGGGCTAGTGGGGACCTCCAGAGGGCATCCAGTGCGAGCCCCGGCCTGAGGCAGGATCAGCTCTGTTCAAACCATCCCGTACAAATCATAATCTTAAACTCTACATAAGACTGCTGTCAACCTGACCCACCCTACCCTGCCGCCGGTCAAGCAGGGGACCCACGGCAGCCAACGTCCTGCTTCTATAAAATGTTGTCAGTATACGCTCAAGAGGTCCCGGGCAGAGGGCTGCGCCCCTGCTATAGAGGAAGGCAACCCCCCCCCCCCCCCCCCCGCCCCCCCCCCCCCCCCCCCCCCCCCGTTCCAGTCTGACCCTGGGGTGAAATTCCTTCCTGACCCCAAATACAGCAGTTGTTGCTTGTGCTCCTCAAAGAGCTCAGGCAGCTCGCTGTACCTGATCCCAGCCAGGCTTTGCAGGCTGGAGAAGAGGAGGAGGAGTTAGGCTAGATCAGCGGTTCCCAAACTGCGGGTGTGACCTCAGATTGGGTCGCAATATCAATGGATGGGGTTGTAGGGGTGGGGGGCTATGCTGAGGAAATGGGACCATAAATGGGGTCAGGCTGACAAAAAAGTGTGGGAAGTATTGGGCTATATGAATATCCTGAATAGGAACAGTCCACCTGTTGATAACTGGAGCTGTAGATGATTGCGTTGAAGGCTTGTGGGCAGGATGAGGATTAACCTGTAGTGGGAAGAAGGCTTGGCTAATCGCTTCCTGACTGACTGCATTCAGTGCCACACAACTTAATTGGATTCATAGCGCATGTGGAGCATTGTAGCTGTGATGGTCCAGGAAATGTGTATCTAAGGTCTCCCAATTAAGCAGCTGGTTCAATAAAAGGTGTCACTTTAAAAAAAATCCTTGCCTCTAGGAAATGGAATCACTGCCTTCCTACTGTGCTGCTATAGCATCAGCACAACTTAAAGATTCAACCAACACCTCTTTACCCTTCACAACAGCTCTTGGGAAGGCCCAGTTTAACTTCAAGTGAGAGTTTTTGTGTTAGACAGGAGGCAGAATGTGGCAGAACTGCTTGAGTTACAGCTCAAGTTGACAGGGTAATGGAGATAAGCTCTAGGCCAGCTCTAGCCTCCATAGTTCCTCCAGGAAACACTAGACTCTCACTGTTCTGCAGCAGGGTCAATAAGAGTACTACAGTGGGAAACCTGGGGCTAAATTAACTTGGTTGTAGAGACAAATGTTCTAATTTTTTAGGTCTAGCATGACTTCTGGAGGACTCCTGTTTTCTTGATGTGGCACTAGTCTTTGCTCTATCCTGTTTTGATATGCATGTCCAGAGCTGTGTTCTCATCTGCACTGCAATCTCCAGGGGTGGTTGTAGCTCTTAGAGGCATGCCAAAGCTTTGATCTAGCCAACTGAAGTAATACGTGTAATGAAAACAGTGGTCTAGGCTCTGGGTGTGAGCCAGCCTCCCTAATATGCAAGGTCATAGATGAGCTTGTATGGCTTACTCTAAAACCCATGAAGCTGGATCTTTGTTGCTGCTCTTCCCTGGGTTGGGTCAAGCTCAGAGATGCCTTAGATGTTGCAATTTTATTGCCTCATTACAGTGTATGCTGTCTCCCCCCTCTAGTTATGTTTTGCAGTAGCTGTTCCCCTTTACTCTAATTATTCTGTCTTGAGTGTAGGAGAGCATAAAGGAAATGGTTTTGTCCTCTTTGACAGTTTTCCATAAAGTAAGCATGTTGGGTACTGCTTATGTTAAATATAATTATCTGCTCTATTACTTACAGAACATTCTCTTAAACCTTTTTGGTATTTGTAATACTTCTGGAATAAAAAAATTAGCTTTAGTCTTTGCAGTGCACCAAGCAACATAATTGAAGGTACTGGCTTTCTGCTCAGAAATTAATATTTCAGGGTCATTACCCTATGATCTCATGTTCAAATTGGAGAGCCTTAGTTTTAGCATTTACTCATGAAAATAAAATCAGATTAACAGCCAGTTTGAGAGGTCATTAACCAGTGAAAATAAGGAGTTCATATACTGGCCCTATGAGATTAGTGTTCCGGATTGGAAAAGTGAGGAGTGTGCTCCATGTACTCTGGATAACTAAAAATTGTTCCTGTCTAATCTAGGGGTAGTAGATTGTACAGGGAAGACATTTTATTATAATGATACTATTTTTTTAGTGCTATTAGACTTATAATTTTTTCTAGTGTTATATTGTAGGACACAGTGTCCAGGTAACATGGCAGTGGGTATGCTGAAAAATTGATTGATTGGTAGATATTTAGAGCATTATGAGGAAATATGTTTAATGTTGACAAGATTCTGCTGTCAAAGAGTGGTGCAGAAGTCTGGTGAAATAACTGTTTTCTAAGAACAAGATGTAAATATTTACAACTTGCAAACCTACCATTCACAAAAGGAAGGAAAATCAACTACATATAAACTTTCCTTCTTTTAAGTGTAAACTAATTGGGAATGGTTCTCTAGTTGTGCATGCCTGTATAATGCCCTCCTATTAATATTGTGTTCAGCAGTGAAATGTTCCGTTATTTGTGCAGGAAACAAAAGCTTTTTTGGACAATAGGGTACAATGCTGATCCATTAATTTTATTGCAAATGCAGTACAGCACTATTTCTGAAAAAAAGGCATTCTAATTTATCTTCCCAGTTATTGTGTTTGCCTTCCAGAAGTGACATTTTAATATGGAATAAAAATGGGCATATGCAGTAGAGGTGTGTATCTCCTATGTTGATAGTAACTGAATGTAACTGAAGTAGAAAGTAGTGTAATGGAAACAAGTTGGCTGGTCCTTTCATTCCCCTACTGTATTGTCTGGAGAGGAGCCAAGCTCATGTGATTCATGAGGCAGTTCCTTGTATGAAATAGCCCTCGTCCCTTATCAGCTAACAATTTAGTTCTGTTGTCTCTCAATTTACTAGTAAAGAGACTAGGAGTGAATAGAGAAGATGTAGTTCTTTACTCCTATTGGTGAGTCTTTTAAGTGAAAATATTGGTGTTACTAAAGCAAAATCAGTACTCCAGTGTAGTTTAAAATTTTCTCTTTCAACACACACTGATTTTTTTTTTTAATCAGTATTTTGCCATTGCACCAATAACTAATTTTTCTCCAAATTAGCAAAAAAATTAAGCTCTTACACTGCTCCTTGTTCTTAAGTTATGCATGCTAAATATAAACACCATCATTGTTTTGTTCATATTGCCCATGCTCTTTCACATGCCAATATAGCAAAACCACTATAACTTTTGTGGATGTAATTATGGCTTCAGTTTTCTAAGGTGGTTGTAGTAGGACTTACAGGCAGGCACTTGTATTGCTATCTTTACATCTGATCTAATCTTTTTTGCACACTGTAGTGTCTAAATATGTGAATTTTTTAAAAATTAAAATGTTTTATGTTGTCAGTTGGTAATTTTGGAAAGTACTCCCAGTGCTTCCTGTTGGACTTTGCTAAGTTTGCTTGTAGTATTAAGTGCTATTCTGGTAGTGTAGCTATGGGATTGAATTTGAAGAGCATCCCTAAACTGTGTTGCGCCATGCTAGAGAGCACCACCATGAAAACATGCCTGCTTCCGCAGTCCATCTTCACATGTATGAAATGCCAAAAATGTCATGTACAGTAACTGCTTTTTGGGGGAGGGGAAAGCAGGCTTAGCACCACTGTAATGACCTATGAGACTTTTTTTCAGCATGCAGTCGAGGAGTAAGTGAGGCATGCTTCGGTGACACTTCCCTGGTGTGGCATAGATGTGCCCTGAGAAGTTACACAAGTTGAACTATATTTACATAACCATTTCTTGATATTTTTCTTGTAACTATTTCTTATCATGTTCTCTCTCTCTCTCTCTCTCTCTTTTTTTCTGTCAGTGGTCTAGATCAGCAGTCAGCACACTTCATGTGCTGTGAACAACCTTCATAGGTTGTGGGCTAAAATGACCTAACTCAGGTCAGAGTTGAGCAGGCACTAAAACTCAGCTGCTGCTGCTTTCTGCACCGGTGTGGGAAAAGCTCCATTATCCTTGGCTTGGATCAAATGGCGCTGTGGGCCACATCTGGCCTGTAGACCATAGGTTGTCAGCCCCTAGTCTAGATTTTGAAAAGTGTTTTTGGGTGTCCAGTTCAAGATACTTTTAAAAAAGGTGACTTGTTGGAATGTGTGAGACCAATGATTTTGGAAAATCAGGCCTATTTTTGGTCTGCCAAGTTAACTGCCAAAAATGAACCTACCAAAGTCATAGCTGCCTTTGAAAGTGTAAGCCAGTGTTCTGATGGAAATCTGCTGGGCGATACAGGATTAATACAATAGGCAGGGCAGAAACAAGATAGGTATC